CTAAATATATAGCGTTATGTCAAAATACTAATTTATTTAATTTTAAACAAATGTAATCCTGATAGTATTCCCACTTTTTACTAAATGTAACTGTAATCTGAATACTTTGTTTTTTGATGTAACTGTAACGGATTACAGTTACTAGATTTTTGTATCCTGATTACGTAATGCCCTTACATGTATTCCGTTACTCCCCAACCCTGTATATGTCACGAATCCAGTCCATGAACTTCCGTCTGCTAGCCATCAGAGGTCACCCTTTCCATTTTCATTGACTCTCGCACTACACCCTGTTGCATATCACCCCGGACTACATATCCCATCATTCATTGCAGCGCCCAGCAACACACTTTCTGCCTGTCCTGTTCCGGCCAAGTAGGCCGCCTATGGATTCTCTGCCTGTTCTGTTCCGGCCAAGGAGGCCGTATTTTGTTTCTGTTCGCCGTTCGTTGACCTTCGCCAGGCCTAGGATTATTCTTGTGTCTTGCCCGCCATATACCTGTTTGCCCTTGTTCGACCCTGCCTGTGTTTCTGACCTCTCTGCTTAATAAAGCCTGCACATGGATCCGCATGTCTCACGTCTCGTCGGCTCCGTAACAGTATATATATATATATATATATGTGTAAATGCATGTCCTGACTTTACTCTGGACTTCCCGCTTTGCTCAGCAGATTGGGGAAATCGCAGATGCTAAAAATCAAACACGCCTAGCAACTTATCTATCAGAAAAACTCATACTTGATTATGGTACCCATGTCATCACAAGTGTCAAGGCTGGTGCCATTTTGGTGCAAGAGGACTATATAAAAAGGTCTTATATCTCTAACAGTGAGTCAGACAAGTCTTCTGCCTCTACATCAGCAGGCATTAACTTTTTTAACAAGGTTAACTTTAACTTTGGTAGCAAAGAATCCCAGGAAACTTCAGAAACCATCACTTACCAGTAAACATATTCTTTAGTTCAGAGTCACGGTGGGGCTTTATTCAACCAAGGAATCACTCTGCAGAAATGGCAAGAGAGCACGCAAAATAATCTGGTGGTTATTGACCGATCTGGTGTGCCACTTCACTATTTCCTCAATTCATCTGTTTCCTGATCTTCCAGTTCCAACTTTACATAAACTTGCCTTTTCAGTCCAACAGGCTGCAGCACGTTACTACAACATAAACACCATTCCAGGATGTGTAGATTCAAATTCCCCAAATTTCAACTTCCAGGCCAATCTTAACGACTCATCCTGCAAGGGTCCAGTCACAAATCTGACCTTTGGTAGCATTTACCAAAAATGTACTCCATTGCCGGCAGACGGAAATGTCATCTGTGATGAGCTTGCGCAAAAAAATCAAAATACTGGTGACTATGTGCCATCAGCCGTTCACGGCCTCTTTGTTACACTCAGAAACATTAGAGCAGGGTTACAATCAATATGAGTGCCATAAGAAATGTCATTCATGCTGGATATTTTTTGATTGTTGTGACAATGTTTGTGGAAATGTTTACTACATCCATCATGCAGAAATCGACACTTACTGGTGCTCCACAAATCAGACAGTCCCTCAATACTCTGGACATCTTTTTGGAGGTCTATTCGGACCATCTTTACAAAACCCACAGACCAAATCTCATGACTGTCCTCCAAATTACTTTGCACAAATATTTTTGACCAATTTTTGGCATTTGATTTGTCTGAGCAATGACTATGAGACAGGAACAGTATTTTCCGTGCCTTTTGGGGGATTCTTTAGCTGCCAATCTGGCAACCCTCTTGCAAGGGATCAGTACCGTTGTCCACCTCAGCACAGCCAACATATTGCTGCCATTAGCGATGGCTGTCAGATACTGTACTGTGTCCAATCAGGTGAGTTTACTGGTGGCCAGTTAAAACCTATTCGCCTCCCACCATTCACAAGACCACCTCTGGTCAACATGATGGCGACAAATACTGTAGCTGTGATGACAGAAGGTGATCGGGCCTGGCTGAGAGTTGGAGAAACGAAAAAAATGGAGACTAGCAAAGCCTGGAGAAGTTAATAAAAAAGGCGGAACGTTTGAGGCATCATCTACCCGGATGTCAGGAGGTGAAAAGGCTGGTGTGGCCTGTGGTGTAATGACTTTTATTGCTGTTCTTGTGGCAGGAATTGTCATCTTAATGAAACGGAGAAGGACATTTTCTCACTTCAGGTTAAGCAGGGGGTATGAAGAGATTCACTGTTATGGCCAAAGTGGTTTAGAAAGTCAGAGAGAGCAAAAGAATACAAATGAAAACCCCACTCAACCTCTGTTGCCTTAGTAGTTATGTCAGAGTACATTAAGATGTTAACTACAGTATTTTAAAAGTTAAATCTTGATCAACTTTGTAAAGCTTTGTAATCAAATTTGTAGTATTTGGTGACAGGGAATATATTTATGCGGTTCTGGGTATAAGGGATGCTATTTACAACTGCTTCACAGCTGGCAAGATGTCGTAAAATGTATTTCTTTTTTTAACATTTAAACTTAGACCACATTATTATATTTCGTTTTGACTTTATGAATACACATAAATGACAGCTTAATGATTTTTTAAAAATCTTTTTTGTGCATTTATTTAAAGACCACATGTACCATTTTTTTGTCACTGGTGTTACCTTACTTCTTTGGCAATTTTAAAGGTTTTTATGAAATATTATTTCTCGATTTTTTTTTTAGTACATGTAGAGTTACAGAAAAATAATGATAATGCAACAAATAAGGAGATTATGTTTTATTTATTTTAATCAGGTTTGTTAAAAGTGTGATTGAATGATGTTAGTTCATTTGCGCCACCATGTATTTGCTATAACAATTAAAATATTTGTAAAAACAAGTTATAAACAAGTAATGATGCAATCCTTTAAATCTTTACTCTTGAGTGAAGCAGAATTCAATGGATGTAAAATTATCATCATGTGTCATTGTGACACATTTTATTTAATGTGACAGAAAAAAAGGAACACCAGTGACATACATAAGACCAAAGATCCTTATTCTTCAACTATAATTAAGTAGATAAGACTAAATTGTTACATTTGGCAATTAGTGAAAGCAGTTAGTAAAATAGCATAAACATAAACTGATCTTCACTGGTGATATTTTATAATATTTATTTGGCATTTTGTTTTTTTGTATATGTCATTTACAGAAAAAACAGTTTTTGGCCTCAAAATAAAGCACTTTCCCTCTGTACATGGCTGTGGGGACGAGCAGTTTTGTGGTGCTTGGAATACTTTATAGTTAATTAAAAACAAATATTGCCACATTGATGGCTCAAGAAGGTGTAATTGTTCAAATAACACATTGTTTTATTTTAAAATATATATATAAAAAATTGTAACCCTATTGTGTTTTTCAAGTGTAATATTTCTGTAAAGGCTAGGGACAGAAAAATGGACATTTCCATAGAATGACCTGTATAACCTAAATAAACTGTGTTTTTCAAGACATTACTAACATTTAAAAACTTAAAAGGCTATTTCCATCAAGTTAGAACAAGAAATAGAGACACTAAATCCTGTATACATTTCACAGTACAAAAGAGCATGAACCAGCATTTTTGGTTTGTGTATGTCTGTGAAGTTAAAAAAATGTGTTGTAATCCCACCACAATGCTGCTTTAAATGTCTCCTAGAGACCAGAAAACATTACACATTCTAGTATGGCCGGAGATAAGAGTAATGATTGGGTCTTCATTACTCATCATACCTTTGAACTTCATCTCACGGAAGAAATGCAACATCACTATACTCCAGCAGATGGCAGGGTCTCCTAATATTACAACACGGAGGAAGAACTACTGCATTTAGGAAACATACTGCGTTGAGCATTTACATTTGAATTTGCACCATCGAAATAATATGCTAATACTTCTACTGTACTATATATTTGTGTCATGCTATGACTGAACGTAGCTCACATGTCTCATATGAACGTAGGAAATTCGTAGTAAATCTCTCCAGCTCTCTAGTAAAATTAATAAAACCTTTTACCAAGAAGTTTAAGGGAAACCTTTACTCGTTGGAGGACATGCTGCTCTTTTTGCTCTGACACAACGTCACAAAATTTATCAGTAAATTAAACTAATGGTTTAATCTACCAACACTAACATGGCGAAGACTTTTAGCACAGGCTGCTCTGTAAACATCTCGTTTACTCACTGGCCATAAACATTAAATGGGCAGCACATTCTGAAACAGCAAGCTTATTTATGGTCAATGTTTTTAGATTGTTTGGTGTGCCATGTTTTTGGTTGCCAAATGAAGTAGCTGACCGTTTTAGCCATAACCCAACACATGCACATCTCTTTTGCACTGAATGGAGTTTCCAAACACATCTAGTGAGAGTTTTTTTGCACAGAAACAGCCAGAGGCTGTTGTAAGTGCATTGAAGAGGACAGTTGACCACCCAAGCACTCAAAGGTAGCCGATACACCAAAATGAATCTGAGGCTATTATGTTGGCTTGCACAGACATCATTAGACACATTATATTTTTGATCAGTCAGTTTTATTGAATCAGCCCACCACCAGCACCATGACATCTTCAGACATCAAAGAAGGTAATGAACTCTACTGTCAGAGAACAGGAGCCAGCCTGTTAAGTGGAAAAATAGGAGTGTGTTTGAAAAAAGTGAGGGCGTTTGCATCCAGCCATTCCAAATTATGATAGTTGACATAATGCCCAGTAGAATCATACACTTTTTTAAGATACATGAGCCTCTTGGAATATTCTGAAAGGAATTAATGACAATATGATATTCACAATAACACAGAAACACCTTTTGTCTCACACACACTTTGAACTAGATTGAGTAAAGCTGCGCTTATTCATAAAAAAACATACTTAATGACCAGTGAATGTGTCAAAGGTCACATGTTCTCTTTTTAAGACAATTTAATGCATTTTAGAGTTTTAAATCCAATACAACTGAATTATGTGAAAACAGAGCAGATTCGAACAACCTCCCCACAAAAGTATGTAATTAATGCTCTTAATTTATGGTTCTAATATATATTTGACACCTGAATAACATTGAAAAGTGATTTTGTGATGCTATTAAAATATTTCAACTTAAAATATAATTTCCTTCCTGATAATATACAGTAGATATGTGGACAGGCTGTAGGAGTGTTTTATTCAGTACATAAACCATATCTGTTTTTACATTACAAAATAAAAGAAAACGTTAAAATAAAGATTAGTCTGTCATCTGTTCATCCACTAACAAACCCAAATCTAACTCCCACATGTCTATGTTCCTCCGTCCAGTCCTTCCGCAGTGTCTTCTTCCTTCAAACACTTTGAAGTGTCCACCAGGGACAGTTTGGTCCCTCAATGTCTCTGGAAGACATGATGAAATAAATAAAGTGGAAATAAAAAGAGCTTGTGTATCTTTGTGCAAAATCAACCAGCCAGCCAATGGTGTTCAAGCATCCCAGCCAGCTGTCATGCTATTGGCTGAAGTGTCACCAAGGAGGAGGGGACTGCTGGACATTGAGGAATGAGCTGTCTAGGAGTCAGTGTGTGTTGTCATTCAGTTGTGTAGTTTGAGAACATGTCGAGGACTCAGAGTTCGTCTCGCGAGGCTCGGGATGCAGGCAGTGGTGTGTCCCCGGTGACGCTGTTTTGAGCGACGGAGCAAATTTGTGCCTGCTGAGCAGTTTTTTTAGCATACTGTCTGTCCCAGTCTGTGCTGATGGCCTCGTCATCCCAAATAGAGGAGGTCTCTGTGTCGCTGAAGTAACCTTGCTCACCCGTATAGTGTGTTGGGTACAACAGCAGCGGCTCAACAGAGAAAGCACGCAAATCTCTGGGATCAAAGTGAGACATGTATGCCGCACTGAGAGAGAGACAGAGAGAGAGCAAGAATGAGAGAGGAAAAAAAGCAAAGGCATGAGAAAAATTACACAATTACTGTATATTAATTTTTTATGAAATTAATTACTGTGATGGCAAAGCTAATTTTCAGCAGCCATTACTTTAATATATCCTTGCTGAATAAAAGTGTTAATTTCTTTAAAAAAATCTTACTGACCCTAAACCTTTAAAACGTAGTATATACAGTGGGTACGGAAAGTATTCAGACCCCCTTAAATTCCATCTAATCTAATCTAATCTAATCTAATCTAATCTAATCTAATCTAATCATCCAGCCAGCCATTGATCTATCTATCCACTGATCTATCCATGCATGCATCCATCCATTGATCTATCTATCCATCCAAGCATCCATCCATTGATCTATCTATATATCTATCCATCGATCTATACATGCATCCATCCATCGGACTATCCATGCATCCATCCATGCATCACACTCACTTTGGGTGTTTGTTGAACATGACTGGCAGGAACTCATCCACAGGGAGCATCTTGCCGAACGGCTGAGCAGCGAGGAGTTTCTTGGCCCCCTGCTGTGAAAGGGCATAACCTAGAGTCCAATATGAGTAATCAGCCTCCACCAGATTATCAACACCCTCTACAGACACCTCTGGCTGTGCTACTTGCATCCGCTTACGGCCCACATATCTATGGAGAGAGAAGTAGAAAGAGAGAAATGTAGAAAGAGAAAGATCAATTATGCTTTTGTGAGTGGTGAAAACATCTCATCATGTGCTGGTTTTCAGCTGGTGTTGTTCTTACATGAGGTCCCAGTTCAGCTGAGCTTTTTCAACGTCCTCCATGATGGTCTGTAACCTCCTTTTAAATCGAGGCTCAAACCTCACGTCATCCTCCAACACCAGCACATGCTGCAGACCTCTCTCCACCACCTATCACACACACATACACACACACACACACACACACACACACACAGGCATTAACTATTAAAATTTGCATAATGTCAATACTAATGTTTTACATTAATGTATATTTAGTATGATTAAATTATTCTATAATGGGTATAGCTAGCTAATCGACATGAAAACATTGCATTATTTTATATACAATTTTGCACTAATACAACACTAAATTCACACACTTTGGGGTACACAATGACTCTCTCTCTCTCTCTCTCTCTCACACACACACACACACACACACACAGTAAGCAGAAAATGATTTGTCTGGTGAAAAATCTTGTTTCAGAAAATGGAAACATTTACTGGAGTGTTGCTCGTCTGGCTGAGATTAACTGGACAATTATACTACACTATATGCTTGGCTTATATAAAACACCAATTAACAGTGAAAAGCTTAACAGAGACCAAAAATAAAGACACAGGGAGTCCAGTGTGTCCCGTGTTTGTGTACAGAACTTTCTACCATCCAAGCATTAGAGGCACAAATTCCATGATTTTGCTGTGATAATTATTAGATGTGTGAAATAAATATAATTTCATATAAAGAATTTTTTTTATGTTTATCTAACATCAAATAAACCAAAAAATCCAAACGTTTTTAGACAAATATTAGTCCTGACAGCATTTGACAATCTCAACCATTCAACTCTTACATAAGTTATTAGAAGAAAACATTTAAACCAGTAATATTCTTTAATTAATGGGAAGTATATGTTTCCTATTTAATGTTTTATTCATCACATTTACTTATTTATTATATTTATTTTAAATATATATTTATTTGATGTATTACACAAAAATATCTGAGTTTTAAATTGTATTAATACACATCATACATTTTTCAAAAACTGAAAACTTCATACAAAATTAAAAGAAAATAAGTCACTAAAACGTCACTCATATAATATTTATCTTTACCTCCCATGGTTGACAAGGACATTTTCTTTCATTAATTATTTATTGAAAAAGAAAAAAAAAACCTTGAGCTGTATTCCGTACCTTATTTATGGGGAGTGCCACATGTTTATATACGAGTGTGTCCGTACCTGTTTCCAGGTGAAGTGGTGGCTGAGGAAACAGCCAATCTCTCCACGCGTCAGCACCCTACCAGAATATGGATCTTTATATCCAGGCATCATTTCTATACCTAGAGCTTGAAGGTGAGATGTATTCAGAGCCCTGACAGGGAATAAAAAAGGTCAGATCATCAGAATTACTTTCACTTGAATTGTTCTGCCACATTTCAAAATACCCCAACATCACAAATGTGACTGCACAGAACATCCCCTTATGACCTACTTCCCATCTACAGCATCAGCCAGCGTAGCCTCAAGACCCAGCGCCGCCATTGTGTTCAACATCCGTTCCCTCCGGTCCAACCTCCGCTTCAGATTAATCAGAAAGATCTGAGCAGAAAAGAGAACGAGAGAGTCTGAGGAATGAAGCAGGGCAAAATAAGAAAATGTCACTTCAAACAAGCATAAATCAGCTGAAGTTTTTTCTGCTGAATAACTATCATGAATGTCCAGTCAAGCAAGACATTCCAGAAATTCTGCTCTCTTACCTCGTCAAAGCCCATCTTGTCCTGGGGTTTGGGTGGAGTGAAGAGAAACTCAGAGGGTTTTATGTTATGATCAACTGTAAGAAAAGGCATTTTAGTCGCACTAAATGCACATCTGACAATCACACGTTGGAACATAACAAAATGTAAATAAAACCTCTAATTAATGGAGGTTGAAAATATAAAGTGTAAAAGTGCTGGAAAAAGGAGGTTTATTAGGGGCAGTGGCCATGGGTGTGCTTCTTATGGGTGTGTGTGTTTGCCGAACATTGTGGGGACCAGGCAACGGTCCCCAAGAAGAAAATGGCTTGATAAAAACTCTACTGTTCCAAGGTTTGGGGTCAGTAAGATTTTCTATTCAAACTTTCTATTCAAAGAATCCTGAAAAAAAAAAAAAAGATTTCCACAAAATTTTGTAAAAAATAAATAAATAAAAATAGTTAGCACAATTGTCTTCAACATTGATAATTAAAATAAATGTTTTTTGAATGAATCAATATTAGAATGAGTTTGAAGGATAATGTGACACTGAAGAATGGCTGATGAAAATTCAGCTTTGCATCATAGAAATAAATGACATTTTAAAATATATTAAAATAGAAAATGTATTTTAAACTGTAATAATGTTTCACATAATTACTGTTTTTACTATGTTTCTGAGCTTTGCAGAGCATAAAAGCCTACTTTCAAAAGCATTTAAAAATTGAACCAACCCCAAACTTTTGAACTGTAGTGAATGAATGAACATCTATGCTTTAATGTGTATTTAATGTGTGTGTGAGTGATAATACCCACTTATGGCCTCAGTGATGGTGTGTGTGAAACTCTCCTCCTCTTCTTCTACACTCTGCTGGGCCTTCAGAGGTACAGGCAGAAAACCGTAATGTTCTCTGTTACACACATACATCTGAACACCTACAGAAAAAAACAACAGCATTCGTTGTTTTCATTCATGAAATGCATCTGAATGCAAACACTGTATATCTCACATCATTCTACGCACCCTATGTAGTCAGCCCACACAAAACAACAAGAAACATGAGTGTTACATCATTAATGTGTTTGTGTGGTTTTGTGTTGTCAGTTTGTATTCATGGGTGTGTTCGGAGTCATGGTTTGTCGGCTTTGTGTTAGCTGTGTGTGTATGTGATTTACTGTAATTCCACTGCATGCTCTCTTTCTCTCTCACACACACATTATTTCCTTAATGGAACATCCACAAACACCCAAAGAGGCCATAAAAATGCCCAGCTGGGGCTGGTTACATTAGCCACAAGATTATCCGACATTAAAGCTGTTACACTAACACAACATATACTGAGCTGGACAGTTGGAGGTGCAGTGATTTATGTGTTAAGTTTCTGATCCGTGTCTGTTCTGGGCCCCATAAACAGAAGAACAGTACTCTTAACTGCATTCATCGGTGTCTTCTGAAAACATTCTGTGCTTAAAAGCACTCATTTCGAAAACAACTCACGCACTTAAAAAAATAAAATGCCAACACAAATGGCAATAATATTCAATGGTTTAGCATCAGTTAAAGCAGCACTATGTAACTTTTTCTGTGTTCAAAATTTGCAAAATGTATATAATGAGCGAGTACATCATGAATTCATCTTCCAAACCGCGTTTTTGTCTTAGAAATCGCATCATATGACCCCTTTAACGCGCTAGGTATCATAACCTAACAATGAAAAATACTATAATACCAGCATTAATTAATCTAGCTTAATTTTAATTTCTACATATAAAACACATTTTAAACATTAATTTACACAACAACAAAAATTATTTTACATGAACATTTTTTTATTTAGCAAAATAATACATCAATAGAATAAATTACATTTATGAGTAAATTTGTGATAAATTAGTGATTTTAAGAGTGCCTGCTATATGAATAAATGCAATGTAAAATATACTGTTGTTTGTTTATAATGCATTAATATTATAAAATTAGATTAGATTTTTGCATGAATGCATTAACTTGAATTATACTGAATTAAACCTTACTTTAAACTGTTATTTATAAAACACTATAGTCTAGAAAAAACATATAACCAGATAAATACACATCATTCTTAAAGGGGTCATATGATGCGATTTCAATTTTTCCTTTCTCTTTGGAGTGTTACAAGCTCTTGGTGCATAAAGAAGATCTGTAAAGTTGCAAAGACTAAAGTCTCAAATCCAAAGAGATATTCTTTATAAAAGTTCAGAGTCAGCCACACCTACCTAAAACGGCTCGTTCTAACACACCCCCACGGACTGTTGTTAAAGCAATCCAGTGGAGATCTCTCACCAGCTTGTCGCGCGGAGAATGCAAAGACCATGATGTCATCAAACGCCCAGCTGTAGTCAGGGTGAGGTGGGTGGAAAGCCATGTCGAGAGTGGCACTACGTCTCAGATCCAACAGGAATGTTGAGTGCACCATGGGAACCGAGAAACAGCCCAAACGCTTCCACTCACGGATAGGCTGGTAGTCTGGGGTGCGCTTGTAATAACCCTGAGAAAATGGCAAGAGATGTCGTGCTATTGAAGCAATGCTCATGAACTGTTTTCGTTGTAAATGTTGAATGCACATTTTAGTTTGAATGCATTTTGAAGAACAGCAGTAAATCTTGCCTTGAAAGGACAGTTCAAACCAAAAATGAAATTTATTCATCCTCATGTTCTTCCAAACTTTTCTTCTGCAAAATCACGAAGGCTATTTTGAACAATGTTGGTAACCAAAACATTTTGGTGACAATTGAGTTCCATTGTATGGACAAAAAAAAAAAAAACGCTGAGGCATTTTTCAAAATATCTTCTTTTATTTTCCACAGAAGAAAGTCAGTCATACGGGATTGGAAAAACATGAGGGTGGGTAAATGATGACAGAATTTGTATTTGTGGGTGAACTATCCCTTTAATATATTACTCTTTGAGCCTGTTTCTGAGGTGACGGAGCTTTACCTGAGGTGTGATGCCACACCAGAAGTTTGAGTAGAGGGATCGGGAATCCAACATGGGCGCCACCAGTGTGAAATTCTCTGCCATCATGAGATCCAGCACCCGTGGGTTGGTCAGGAGGTTATCACTGTCAACAAACTGAGAGAAAAAGAGAGAGGTAAAGTTGGAGAGCTCTAGTTTTACATAAAAATACCAGTTTAGCATCAACATGAGTGTCATGATGAATGACATATATACTCACCAGTATATAATCAGCCCAGCGCTCTCGTGCAGCCTTCATTGCCGCCTGCCTGAGCTTCATTACATGATTGAAACGAGATGGAGCCCAGTGTTTCGGCCCCCACTCATCCATGTATGACCTTACATAAAAAAAAGATGCATACACTTTTTCTTAAAATAACATTTAATACCACTCTTTCTACTCCTATAATAAACCTTATCATCTTCAACATATCTACAGCACTACTGTTGTTTTTTGGCCTTTATGTTAATTTTATGTTTTAATTAAATTTTTTAACACAAATTGGACATTGCTACTTCTCTTATGAGCATGGCAAGGAGAGTTAGGGCAGATGTCGAGATTTTCAGTGCAAAAACTGAATCACTCAGTGAAACATTTTATTTTAAACATCATATGACTTCAGAAGATTCGGAATATAGCGTATGAAACATATGGAACTCTTTTATGATATGTTTATGTTGATTTAGTATCATCTTTTGAAGCTTGAACGCATATGTGTCCATTCATTAGGTACATGAAAATTAGTATAATATTACTTATATAAATATAATGAAGAGTTCTTCATAACATTCTATTTGTGCTCCATGAAAGTCATACAGGTTTGGAACAGGAGGGTGACAAAATAATGACAGAACTGACAATTTTTTAATCCTTGTTCTGGAAATCATTATATTCGGATGGGAAAGACATTAGTAGTCCGTTGCAAATTCCCGACATAAACAGCCATTAGTGCTAATTGACTTTGTTCTGAAACAAGATGTTTTCAACCAACCGTGGCTCCTCCATGGGCCTCCACTCCACGTAATGGTATCTGCTCTGCCTGTTCTTCAGCCATTCTCTCAGCATGGCTGTGGTGTTGTCCACATTATGGTCCGTTGCAGCCCTTCAAGAATCGACAAAGGAGAATTTACGTCATTTTAACATAAACAAGACAATCTCCAAATACAGCTGCTCATCAGGAGCAGTGAAAGAGCGATGCGTCCCTCAGGCAAGGGCGGAACAGTGCACAATGTGTTTTGAGTTAGTATTTCTTTCTCCTAGACTTGTGGAAAAGCTAGATAAGACTACTAAAATTCACATGAAGATGTCAAAAGTGCTAGCTGACAATGCTAGCAAGCAACTAACGCTGTATTCATAGGGCTGATAAATTCCTCAGGCATGGTTATGGGTTTGCAAGGAAGTGAGGCACTTAACAACAGCTTGCCAACAGCAGCTTGTGAAAGGTAAAAGACGTATTGTCTAAGTTTCATTTTAGCATTTCAAGAGCGTAGCTTAGCATAGTTAAATATGTTACTAGCATCTCAGAGGTGAAGCGCGATGAACAAAGCGATGAACCGACAAACAGTGTGACATAACAGTGAGTTTTCCCAGCATTACTACTCACTCTGTGGCTTGTGGAGATCACATGTTAACACTGACACAAGCACACAAACACACTCAGTGTCCTCAGCCGTTTGGCTGTGCCAGTGGAAACCTCCACTGCACAGGGACTCTGCAGTAAAACCATGTGGGAAAGAACCAACAAATATTGACATCACCTCAGTCGTCACATTCACACACACATTCACATTTCCTCACCCCACCTTTACCAGAAATAAAATTCAATTGGTGTGTATATTCATATTTATAGAGCATTGCAGGATGTTCTGAAGCAATAGCAAGATGACACTTGAGGCAACAGGGAAACATAAACTGGACTTCATTTAACCTAATGTGTAGACAAGAGCAAAAACAGATGAACAAGTCGTAATATAAAAAAATAAAATAAAAATTGACAAAAAGCCATTCATAACCAGCCTTTTTTGTCTTATTTTAAAAATATCTATTTATTTTCTTTTGACTTTGAGGGACATGTCCACCCTGTTCCCACTGCCGCCTTTCAAATCTACACCTATGTCTACCTTGAACATCTGCAGTGAATAATACTAGTGTAAACCAACAAATACACATATAACTCCCACAAACAGACATTGTCAGACAACCGATAACAGTGTCTGCAGTGTGTGCATCTAAGTAAACTCATATTATTACACACGCTTCATCTTTCAATAACAAGTGATAGACCAGCTATTCAACACTACGACTGCTATTTTGTCACTCACACAAACACAGACAATTACTCATGCAAGACAGTCTCGCTCTTAACAACATATTCCGACAAAGAGTGCAGAAAATACAGGCCAAGATGATGTATATGTGTTTTAAGTATGCTTTATGGGTGTCCAAGATTTTATGAGATGCATAAAAGCAAAGGGAACAGACAGCATCATGGTTGATAAGCAGTCTGGTTCTTTATCACTGGTTCGAAACACCTGACACACAGGTAATTACAGGTAATGCAGTGTCAAATAGATCACTGCTTTCAGACACACTTTTCTGGTGACTTTCAGTGAGTGTACGTGTGCTACAGTTGTTTTAAAGGAAAACAGGCCTTCGAGCTGCTTCCAGAACATCTGTGAAAAATCCATTAAAATCAGAATAAACAATGAAGCAGAAAAGCAAAAGAGTGCATGCATTTTCTTATATGAGGATAAATACACGCGTGTTAGATTTTTCTTTGCATGCAATTCTCATACTTATGTTCAGTTCTCTGTTCATTCTAGTTCTGCATTTATATGAATTAAATAAATATGTTGTGGTTTTCGTCACACTGCTGCAACCGATATAAACATCTGGAATATTCAGACTCGCTGCATCTCTTTAAATGACTCTCTAATGGTAAATGATTGCACATGTGTTCCTCTCCGACCCTCCTGGGGAGAGACCCACACCATGCATTTTGGGTTATGCTGCTCCATGACAAAGAAAACTGCACCTATACAAATAGTGAAGTGTGCAAGTGTCCCTGGTGGGAATGAAGATTTATGATTTATGCATGACTTTATGCTACATTACTATATGCTTGCAATATGTCTGACTGTAAATGGAGGAGGAGCAAATGGGGAAATCTCATGAAGAACATGTCTGGGTCATTATTCTCCTAAAATCAAAAGACTAAATTTTGCATAAAGAACATTAAGCTTATTTTTAGGACCATTAAAAAAAGTATATTTAATTATTTAAAAAAAGACATCAATTTTTTACTTTCATAATAACAATAAAAATATACCAAGGCATGCTTTTTGATTCACCCAAATGTAAGCACATTTGTGCAGATGTGAGTGTATTTCTGCCTGTATGAAGTCTTTGAGGCTGTGTCTTAGCTCTGGCCTCAGGGGGCAACACTCATATTCATGACTGGACAAGCAAACAAACTGAGGAATTCGAACATGCCAGCATATGAATGACTCAAGACTTCTGGTTTCTGAAGGTTCAGTCAGTCATATATCTGGACAGACACATTCTCCTCACCTTACTCTCTCACCTCTCGATCCCTAACAAATTTCCACACCCAGGGGCAAAAACAGACTGCTGACACTGACCACATTACATACTCTTTCTGAATAAGGTCCATATTCTATAATATTATTTAGGTGCTTTTCCCAATCTGTACACTGATTTATGTTGATTTTTTTTATTGTTTGGGAAACAAATCCTCATTAATCTTTTTGATATTTTACTGTTAAACATTCTACTTGCAATATCCCGTAAATGGACCTTGTGATAAAGGTGATTAAAAGTGTTAGGGATGTATGTGTCAGGATATTTAGCTCTAAGTTTGTATGTGTGCACTCATGCTGCGCTTGGAGGAAGCATGCAGGACTTCGCTTATAAAAACCCAATTGTTTTTTCACCGCCCTTTTGAAGTTTATTGTAAGTCTCCAGCTCATTATCTGACTGCCTGAGGCTCACGCTCTCTTTTTGTCTCTGTTTCTCCTCCATGTCCTTATTGACAGCATCTGGACACCACATGCTACTCACCTCCAAACACGCACATCTTATACTTTCTCCACCTGCACAGAACAGCCATCAGAGATAAAGAGGACTATCCCCTAATACAAGAAGCAGTCAGGTTTGAGTAAAAACAAAGAGATGACATGAAATAACCCTTAATTAGATACACCAGTAAAAAAAGATACTGGAAAGTCTTCTACTGCTCAAAGCTGCTCTGTCAACACCGAAACAAACTACATTACCTCCTAGGCTGATTACCCATTTCAACTATAACAATGGGTCTGTTGTATTTGTAGCAAGGCGATGTGTTTTCTAACATATTCTCTGTACGGCTGCTTTGGAACATAATTTATTGAGAAAATATATAAAAAAAATTGAATGGAATTAAAACAAAAGTTTCTAAATATTAATGAAAATGTCCATTAGTTCAAACACTGCCAGTTACATATGTGTGTGTATATACGTGTGTGTGTGTGTGTGTGCTTTGCAGTGGCTCTGCCCCCATACATGGGCTGACGTGGCTGCCTGGCTCTGTAGATTGAGGAGGGGGCAAAGGGGCTTGTGAAACCCTTGCTGTATTCAAATTCCTCCAGCCACCCTCTGTCAACACAGCTCACTCATGTCACAAAAAACACATCTAGAGTGTGATGCTAGTTCATCCCCCCTCATGACATTTGATGAAACATCTTTTTTACAAGTACAAAATCACATTCACATTAAATACAACTGCACACTAGGGCCTCAGAGATCCATCCAGAACACTTTATCTTAATCTGCTTTTCAATGAGTCATTGTTCTCCTACCTGTTTTGGAGTTACAGTTCTGATAAAAGCAACAAAAGTGGTCAAATTAGTTGTAAACACACATCTGTAAAAGCACAAATGCTTTTCTCAGAGTGCATATAGGATCATAGACTAGTTGGTCTAGAAATCAGAAGAGATTCACACAGTCTCACCTGACACACTGACAGAGTTTATCAAACAATCACATGACTCTCCCTTCATCTTCCTGAGAATATAAACACATCTGTGAAACACTGTGAAAAATGTATGTGATGTGTGCTTATGCACAGAACAAGAGCAAGACAAACAGACAGTGAAAAAATGAGAAAGAGGTGGGAGAAAAAAAAGATTGAAACAGTGAGAGGTAGACAGATAGATTGATTGATTGCTTGCAGTGCAGACAATGTTAGTCTTCTCGATGGTTTACCAGAAGGATGAAACCAGCAGAGAGCAATAAAACTGAATTTCCCTGCCAATAACATAAACTTCCGTCACCTTGAAATACCTCACTATATGTCCCTGCAGATGCATGCCTATCTTTTGTCAAGTGTGCCATTTGGGACAACCTAAAACAGCTGTCTGTGACCATGACAAAAATCCCAAAAAGGTATATATAATACCTGGAGAAAGTTATGCAATAGCATTCCAAATATAGCAGCTGCATTGGACCTCAGAACATTTAGAATCAATAGAACCATAAAATGTGACTAAACACTCCAAATCGCAAACAAATGATGCAATATCCACTACACTATAATGAAATATTAACCTATACGTGTATGTATGTATATGTATATATACATATATGTATATTTTGCAAAAAAAAATAATGGTAAAAAATCTGGTGTCAGTATGTTTTTTTAAAGAAAGTAACAGTAAAAACAAAAAAAATTCTACTTCAAATAGAAGCTGTTCTTTTGAAATTTATATTCATCAATTAGCAGCAGAACTGTTTTCAACATTGATAATAATAAGAAATGTTACTTAAGCACCAAATGAGCATATTAGAATGATTTCTGAGGAATCATGTGACACTGAAGACTGGAGTAACGGTTGCTGAAAATTCTATCACAGGAATAAGTTACAATATAAAATAAATTATATTAAAATATATTAAAACATACAACAGTTATTATAAATTGTAATAATATTTCACAATATTAGTTTTTACTATTTTTGATCAGATGAATGCGGTCTTGGTGAGCATTACCGAGATTTTTGAATAAAGCCCCAGGCTTTTCTCATATCATCAAAGATGTTTTTTAAGCCTAGATTGTGTAGTTACAGCCATTACTAGCAGGTTCTAATAGGGTCATGCTAACAAGCCAACCTTGACAGTCTGACCTAGATCGAAGTTAAAATATTAAATTGTTCAGTCCTGACAGAGTCTCTTAGTATTGTTCAGATTATTTGGTCACCTGCCCTGACCCAAAACACTGCACACCAATAAACTACTATTCCAGCTCGACTCTAGACTGCCATGACTAAAGGCAGCAATCGTCCTGCTGTCTGGACTTTTGCACACTATTGTTCCTCTACTCTTGAACCCCTGCTGGGTTGAGGCCTTTTGGGTTTTGGGTGGATGGGATGGACAACTGAATGAAGGTAACTGTTGTTGGAAAGAGCGGAAACTGGTTCTGGACACGTTGAAAAAAAAAAAAACAATACTGCAGAACTGCAGAAATGTACAAGTTAGACCCCATCAAACACTGAGCCAGGGTTTTAGTTACAGCAAAGCTCATGCAAACCTAATAAAAAACACAAACACGCTCACAGCTCTAATGACATACACATAATCATTCACAGATCAATACCCAACATATCTCTTATTCTTTTCTCAGGCCCTTTGTTATTTAACTTGCCAAAATGCCCAGCATTCCTCAACAACAGCATCATAGCAGCTTGAATGAGTCTGAAGGGAAACTGTTCGCACGGTTGTCAAGATGATCACATCATACAGATAAGGCTATAGTAAAGGGACACAAAAGAGCAGTCGGCTCTTATAAACAAGTCTGTGTTCAGTAATTCTGACTGTAACTTGATCAGTCATGTCTAACTTATTTCAAAAGCTGTGTTGGCACCATTAGCTCGAACACCGTTTCGCTAATTACAGGACTGTGCCTTTAGGGAACATGATGCTGGATTCACACTCTTCCCTCTTTATTACTTAAGCCTGTCTGAGCCATTAATCAAGACACTGTCAGAGGAGATTTTCCTCTCTGTCTCCTTTGTTAGCGCTAAAAATTCTCTTCAGCGTTACAGTAGCTTAGCTCCTGCTAAAGCCAAACAATCACAGAAACTCTAACTGTAATCAAAGTTCCTTTGAAGTTGTGATGATGAAATGGAAGTAGCGACAGATCTTTTCGTCCTTATTGTGATATGCATCCGAGTGAAACAGATTATTGAAAAGACTTGGTTCTATCCATCAGTTGTTGGTTGGATGGAGGCAGATCTGAATGCGATCTTGAATTTTCATTTCATGTCAACCATCTTGGTTACCATTTTTGGTAGTTACCTACAAGTACAGCTATTATTTACTTGACTAACAAATCTCCAAAAGTGTTACAACAATAAATGTTGCTTATTCAGTTCAAATTATGCTATTTAACAGTATTTTTCAGGCTAGTCGAGTTAACACACACACAAATTACTGTAAACGCATCTCATACTGACTTAGATCCAATCTGAGATACTTCCATAACAAATAAGAGAAGACAAAGTGGGGCAGAGAGATGTCTTTGTGGGTGACCTTTGCGCGTGGTCAATAGGGATGGAATGCGGATCGTTAGGCCACTTGTGGTGCCCCTGTGTAATTTTCAACAGTTCCTCTCCCCTGCCCTTTCTTCCCCCTAATTCCCCACATTCTTTTGCAAAGCAGTGAGACTTTTAGCCTGTCATTTGACTGCTGCGTTTGTTAGATCTCCATAATAGTGCACATACACACACATACAAATGTCCACAGGCAGCTAAAGTTGCCATGACATAAAAATTCACCCTATCTATTTTCTAAATGGATGTTATAGATCTTACTGTGAACAAGTAATTTTTTGTTGTTGCTGACTTGTAATGTTTAATCAAAATGTCATAACTGGTGAAAACCACATACTTCTCTCTTGTGATGTGTGCAGGACTTCTGCCCCTGCAAGAATGCGTTCATCTGAATCCACTTTTGATTGCAACACCTACATCTCAAAATCCATTCAACAAACGATGGACAGAACACTTGCATGTGAATCACAATAAGGAAAAAAAAAAGATCTGCTGCTACGTCTGTGCGACTTTACATTCAATACTAAGTAGTAAAGACTGGCTATATGAAAACAGCAAGTTAGTAGAACTTAGCCTTTATTATAGTGCAAATGATATGCAAGAGGATTTCAAATCTATTTCACTTCATAAATGTGTGCCTCATTCTGAACACTCTCCAGCTAAAACCTGCCAGAAGAAATAAATGTAAAAAGTGGTAAAACATAAGGCATAACAGTGGAGTGGAGTGTACCGTCAGCCCAAACACATGGAATGTTTTCCAATCAAAGCAGTTCCGCTCAGATGGTGGAGCGGCATTAGAGAAGAGAGAAAGCTGAAATTAAAGTGGGTGTCTGTGTGTGCCTCCAACCACTGATTTGGAAAGAAATGTAAATCAACTGTTTACTCTAGGGAAAGCTGAAGGGAAGTGAGGACAGTTCATGGATGATGCTCATTATCTGTGGTAGGCCTATGAACACGCTTGAGAAAGACACCATAGCAATGGTACGCAGCTCGAGTGATTTTTATGTTTCAGACAAAACATGAGTACTGCAATTACCTATCACTTTAATTTCATTAAAGGGGTCATATGATGCGATTTCAAGTTTTCTTTTCTCTTTAGAGTGTTACAAGCTGATAGATAAGATCCCTGAAGTTGCAAAGACTAAAGTCTCAAAACCAAAAGAGATATTCTTTATCAAAATTAAGACTCTGCCACGCCCCCCTAAAACGGCTCGTTCTAACACGCCCAGAGGCGGGGCATAGAGGACCTAAAATAATGTACAGTATTTGAAAAATAATGTGTTTTTTTAACATTAAAGCATGTCAACATATTCTGTTACACCAAATACACAAAATAATTATCTTTAAAAAAGCATCATATGACCCCTTTAATTATTACACACTGACAGATTACAAGTAGCCTATCTTGGACTCATGTTTACATGTCGTTCCAAAAAGCGGCCGCCTTATTGGTCGTGCTTCCCACACGTGACGCGAAGCCTAATCACTCATGATCAAAATATGATTACGCGAGTAAGGAACTATTGCCGACTTTAAACACTTATAAAAAATAAACTGCAGGATTATACATGGAGAACTTTTATTTTCTCGCTCAAAACCAATAGATATTTTTATTGGAATGAGAAGAATTTAGTGCCCCATATATGGGAACGGGATTAAACGAAAAACGGCTTCACTTTACGGCCTATATGTCACAAAACAGTTAAAACTGATGGTAGGGGTGGCTGCGCGAACGTCAACTGACTGCCAGTAGAAAATTATGCTGACAGAAATTCTCCTAAAACTCTAATTATAAAGAGAACCGACAGGACATGTTACTTAGCCAGCAAACGCCTTTCATCTTCATTTAACATGTGATTAAATCCGTGCACACACGCGCGTACACAGTGCAGTAAAACCGCTTTAACAGGTCTGCTTCACGCAGACAGCGGCGTCTCTGTTCTTCTATCTGCCAGAAGGTTTTCATTAACCAAACCTTACCTGCGCGCGCTCCACAATAACTCCACTATGTACCCAGACCTTCTCAGTTTTCAGCCACCACACTTGCTGCAAAGCAAACCATCTCATCATACACATTATGCGTTCTCTACAGCAGCATTCCAATAAAGTCCAGTTTGGAGATTCTCACCATATCGCAATCCGGTCCTTCGGGTAGTCCAGGCGGTCGATGCAGCCCAGGTAGTACGGCAGGCTGTGCGCCGAGTTCCGAGCCAGAATCGCGATCATGACTTTGGGCTTAAGCAGCGAGGATTCAGGCACGGGATTCAGGTCCTGCACGTGAGCCACAAGCTCCCCACGGCAGTTTTGCGCCATCAGAGCGCAAATCACAGCCACCATCACGAATCCCTCAGCCGGCATCTCTGCCTGATGGACACCGCTGTCACAGCCTGAACGGGGTGTGTGAGTGAATGGGAGGCTGAAAGACAGAGAGGGTGTGTAAGGAGGTGTAGAGAGAGGTGGAGAGGTTACCTCTTGACGAAAGTGGGTTGCCTCCACCAGATTTTCACACCCTTCACCATGACAGACCATTGCACTGAAAGAATGAGATCTCGATTGCGCATAGAACTGGTGAAAAACTGCTCAGTGATATAAATCTGAACATGATAGCATTTTATTACAATATATTTCATAAAGTAGATGCTATTTAAATATCCTACTTACCGTAACAGCCCCTGAAGCAACAAGCTGGCCATATAGACAATGCTGCCTGCAAATATGCAAAAATAAATAAGGCTACTGGGCAGAACATTTACTAACTAAACATTTGATAACAAAATAATACATAATTTATTTATTTTGACTTTTTAAACACTGTTGTCCAGAGCTCTTTATTCCCATTCGTTTCCCTCCATTCTTTCCACATTGCTCATTTAATTTAGGCCTATCCATCGGCTGCTCGATCTCATTCCTTTCGCGTCTCTTGTATCCCAACACTTCTGAGAGTTCAGTCATGACATCATCCAGTTCCCTACAGCTGACACCTGCTGCTCTTTCAAACAACTTTAACAATTTATTTTTGGTGGCGAATACCAAGCTTTAAGTTGTATCGTATAAGATAACTGTAGTAAATATGGCATTTGGGAGCGAAATACGATCACACGCATTTCTTTGCCGCGTAGGCAACATTTGATCTAATGGCGACCCCTAGTGTTTAAAATTAGAAACGAGGAACAAAGTATAAAAGTCTAATTTTTTAATGCCAGTTAGCCTGCTGGAATTCGTTTACCTTGCTAAATCAAGTTTAAAATGGTATCTGGATTTTGGAACATGTTAGCATGTACCAGTTGGACAAAGTTAGCTAGCTGTCTTCCAACAGTAGGCTATTCAGCAGCAGTTAGCATAACACCTTACTACATCTCTGTGCACTTTAAAGGGGAAAAAAAGGTTCACATATGGTCAAGAGACAAATGTATAGGCTATTAGACAGAGAACACACCTTTAAAACGGCAGGTTCCCCGTCAAAATGATATTTGAAATTATAGGGAGATGTAGGTTTCATCATTAAGCTGACAGAAAAACTCTCAGAGGTCAGCCAAAGCAGAAGTTTGGCTCAGTTACTCTGGCTGGTGCAAACCTGGTTTCCGTCTGCTGCGTCTATGACTTTGTCTATGTCTGGTAAAAACACATTCTCACATCAAATGAGTTATTCTGACAGTTTCTGCGATATTTTAGTCCACCAAAAAACATGTGAGAAGTTTGGATCAGGCCACTGGTGTCAAGTCCCAAAAGTAGGCTAATGCATACACCATTCAAGGAAGGTTGTGCTTTCTGTCTGTGGGGAAAGGTGACAGCTATTAGTAAATCGAATTCAGTGATAAAAGAGAGTTTTTAAAGAGGCTAGTCGAAGTTCTGGTGGGTATGTTTTTAAAAAGTCGAGTGAATGGCAGAGTTTATAATAAGAGGACAGTAATGGATTACATTTATAAAGGGTTTCTACAGTGTCAGGCATGTAGGAAGTGTTTAATGGTGGAGAAGAGAGGAATGGGAAGAGAAAAGTGAGAGATATACATGCAGAATAAGGAGAGTGAAAAGAGAAAAAAAAGGGAAGGCCTGCTGGATTGAGTTAAATGTAATTGCGGTGAGCTCATGTTGGCGATGTATAGTGACAACCAAGCCAGAGCTCTCACAGGGCTTCACATGAGATGGGATTTATTGGGTTTTACCTCACAGTGGAGAGAACATTGCCTTTGCCCATATTCTTACCTGTACTGTTCTCCACTTTGCAGAGCAGTACAAAAAAGCAGATGAACCCTTCACTCTATAGATAAAATATCCACAGGTTATGTGTGATAAAAATTAGATGTACAGTTTACATGTGACTTACTCTTGTCAATAAATTTTTATAAGTTATCACATTAATTTTGTGCAAATTATATCTTTGAAATAGCCTATGCTTTATTTTTTATTTCAAGTAGTTCATATTTATTTTTAGCTTCATTTTATTATGGAAATTGTTCTTATATTGAACTGTGAAATACAAAACATTAAAATTATCAGTTTGGATAGAATATATACAGTGGTGTGAAAAAGTTTTTGCCCCCTTCCTGTTTTTTTAATTGTTTGCATATTTGTCACACTTAAAAGATTCAGATCATCAAACCAATTTTAATATTACGCAAAGAATGCAAGTAAATACAAATTGAATGGCTCAAGAAAAACAAAATAAAGGTTTTGGAATGGCCAAGTCAAAGTCCAGACTTAAATCTGATTGAGATGCTGTGGCATGACCTTAAACAGTCCATTCATGCTCAAAAACCCTCCAATGTGGCTGAATGAAAACAATTCTGCAAGGAAGAGTGGGCCAAAATTCCTGTGAAAGACTCATTGCCATTTATCGCAAACGCTTGATTGCAGTTGTTGCTGCAAAGGGTGGCAAAGACTAATGGCTGCTGAAACTTCAGCTTTGCCATCACAGGAATTACATTTTAAAATATTTTAAATTAGACAGCAGTTTTTTTTACAATGTAACTCTGGTTACAATATTACGGTTTTGTTGCATTTTGATAAAAAAAATAATAAAATGCAGCCTTGGTGAGCATAGGAGACATTTTTCGAAAACATATTGAATGGTAGAAATAATGTGCCATTTAAATATATTTTATATATATAACAAACAAAAAGTGTTACAAAAGTATTAAATAATAGTTTGAGAGATTTACTATTAATTTTTTATCTGTATTGTTTGTGGCACTTTTTTCCATGTCCATTTTTCTTTCAGTTGTGCTGCGCGAGAGATTTTAGTATTAATAAACACACAGACTCTCATAAGCACCAAGTAAATTAAAGATGTGGAAGGAGCATATCAGAGTTTAACCAGTGGAAACAGTAATGTGTCCGAATATCTTAAATTCCCTGAAATGTCCACCATTGAACTAGCAACTGAAATGAAGTAGTAAAGGTAATAAAGTTGTTAAAAGGACTGAAAAGTTTAAACTGTGAACAGTTATAAAATCTAAAACATACACTAATATACATTTTAATCTAATATTCCGATGTTGAAAACGACCCAACATATTATACATTTCTAGTGTAGTTCCACTTCTCAACCTGCAGGCGGAGACACACCACAACAATTGAGTGAAATTAAAACGCACATAATGCTTCGCGGTGGTTTGTTAGAAGCTCCTCATCTGTGTGGATTCTCCGAAAAGACATGATGTTGGACAGCTATTTTGACAACATAGTTATAGCTATATAGATAGTTAAACATTTGTACGGTTTAATATTTTAACCCATGAAGAAAATGTATTCTGCACATTTCTGCATCTGAAATTCGACCCCAGAAACCATTAAGTATTTTTAACGTTATGAATCAATCCACCAACAGGAAATATGACGCTGTAATGGATTAATGATGCCTGCAAAGCAGTACGTACCTATACACACACACACACACACACCAACCAATTAATCGGTGAAACAGCACACAAACAGAAACCATAGCTCCAGTGTCTTATATTTTAATAGAAAAAGAAAACATTGAAAACATTTTTTTTAAAAGGAATCAAACCAGTAATCATGACAGATGCTTGGCTAGCGCTGTGTCCCCTCAAAGTGACCCCACCCCACCTCATACTGTTTAATGGTCTCTATGAACAGTAAGAGTACAGGCTGACAACCAGATGCATTTTAGCCAACAAGACTGAATACTACTGAGTGAGAAAGACCGGGTGAGAAACCGAGGTAAACACTAGCTAAACACATACAGGCCTACGACAAACACCTCATCCCTTTGACAACGATTAACACAGTCAGACCCGTTCTCTGACACAGATGAACACAAATACAGCCCTCGAAACACACAACACACACACACAAAAAAGACAACCTAATTTCTCTGCCATAGTCTCATCACAGTCCGTTACCTGTACTAAAGGGCAGCACAAACGGTCAATACGGATCTTTAAGTTAAATGCTGCCAGTGTGCAGGTGGCTGTAAGGGATATATTTGGATGTGTGTGGGTAACTAGTCTGGCTGTATTTCCGTCTATTTTCTGAGAACTTTACAAATAACAGCAGGATATACAAAATGAAAGTGTGGACTTGTGTGTTGAAAGAGGGTGTGGTGATTATTTTAGCTTTAAGGCTTTCTCTATGCATGTATGTGTGCGTGCGTGTGTGTGTGTGTGTTATGGGGTCACTGTACAGGCCTGTCCTTTACAGCACAAGCTTGAAGAGGTCTGATTTATGCAATAAGCAAAAAAAAAAAGGGAAAAAACATTTATGGAACAAACAAATCAGTCTCGACAAATTAAAAAAGGTCCTTCAAAAGGCAGGAGTCCAGACTTGCCACGACGCTCTTATCAAAATATCAAATAATCTGCCAGTTCGTTCATATAGTTGCTCTTAATAAAATATCTCTCATGTTCAATAATTTTTCCCCCCCAAAAACCCACAACACTCCATCTTTACATTCACTCCCCGTTATCTCCAGAGGATGTTTGTAAGCTCTCTTCTGGTTCCTCCATATGTCAGTTTTTTTCTCTGGCCTGCCACTTAAAACGAAGACTGGGAGGGGTATGTCGTCTTTCTTCTCTCCATATCCTTTCATCTTGCCTTCCTCAACATAATCTCAGATGGCTCTGTCACAGCCAGGAGGACGAAGGGGGCCGTTTCAATGCTGGCTGTAGGAGGACAGGAGCGGAGGGGGAAGGGGGTCCTCATTTCACGTCAGAGTGAGTCTGTGTTGATAATACATCAATCAAACTGTTCTTTCCTCACCCCAAACCATCTAGATCTCCAAACAAGGCAACCCCAAGAGAGGAGAAGGGGTCAAGGGTGCCACAGCCTATGAGGAAAAGTCCTGCATTCTCTCGCTCTCACAAGCACACGCTCTCACGCACTCGCACGCACACTCGCTCTCAGACTGACAGAGTGTTACTGACATAGGAAACACTGATTTTTGAGTTCACACTCTCTCTATTTCCATCTCTGGCAAGATCTGGCGCCTCTCTGCTATGTCACATCATCCTCCTCCTCCGAGCTGTAGTCCCGCCCCTAAAGAATATGGAGAGAGAGAAAGATGAAATAAAAATGCTAAAATAAGAGAATTTGAGTTTCGGTCCTAACTAACAGCAAGAGTGATAGGAGCACTACATTTTGTTGGTTGCCAGGTTGCTTCAACCACAAATATAACTCACTGGACCAAAGTCCCATTCCTCATCAATATTAAACATCAACTATGGATGAGAACAGATTGCTTATGACAGCTAGTTTTTGGCACTAAATAAAAAACATTTTTCTCAGAATTGTGAAATAAAAATGAGTTTAAATCTCTGACTTTTTTTTTTCTTCAGAATTCTACATTTACATCTCGCAATTCAGTTATTTTTGTTTTCGCCACAATAAAAAAAGGTAATTGCGATTTTCTCACAACTCTGACTTATTTCTTGCAATTACGAGAAATATAAAAAAACCCACCGGCAATCAGATTTTTACAAACCTTGTTTAAAGTAAATTATATGGCAACCAATGTAGATATATTGACGACACTATCCATTTCCTCATTTATGAAATGACAATGAGGATAGTTACTCCTAAACTTTTTTTTT